CTTAGTTGCTCATGCTGCACCATGGAGAGTTAAACTGCATAACAAAGTAGTATGCGATGTCAGTCTTCGACGGGATGCAGTCTTAATCCACGTGAATAAACTGAAGATTATTTCATTTGCCTTATACCAGATTGTTTAAACGTTATTTTCATAATATCGAACATTGATTTGTTATTTTCATAATATTTTTGTTTTTGCGTTTTTACATAATCAAATGGCATCATAGCACATGTATTTATTAAGCCAACTAACATACCAGTAATAAATAAATCAAAATGTGCTAAATGTTCACTTTGTTTATACTGTCGATATTTTGTTTTCGTTATTTCATCAACATATAAAAATGTAACCCATGATACATTTTGACGGTAAAATACAGCTGACGTACCACGATAAAGTTCAGTGATGAGTTGTTGTCGATTTATATGAAAAAATTCTGGAATACTCATTCGTTTTGGACTTGTCATTAACCATACTTTAAGCCGTTCTAATGGATTTATAATAATGATTTCAAAATTGGCAATAGATAAACTGGTAGGAATTTTTGGTAAACGTAAAATCAGGTTTTCTAAAAGAAAATCATGCCATTGCTCAAAAAGTTCAAGTACAAATAACTTCATCTTTTTTCATGAGTAAATAACCAGAGCATCCTCGTCGAAATCAGCGTCAAGCGATCTCTTGATTTTCTGTGGGCTTAGGTGTGGCATTGGATTTCTTAGAAGCGCTATGACTAGCGTCTGTCGAGTGTTGGAAACCTCAAAAAGCGGTGGGTTGAAGGTAATCAAGTATGCTGAATCTTGCAGCAGTGTTTGCCTTCATAGAAACATTTAAAAACCTAGTGGAACTTAGCTTTGTTGAAAACATTGCTGTTTCACAGTTTTCACCAAGAACCAAAAAATTCGTATTTCATTCCGATCCAGATCACTTAAAAATGTCAACATAGACACAGTTTTATATGCTGAAAATGATTCTAGAATTGTCAAAAACCCCATTGCACCTGTGCCGTATTTTGGCATGGTTTTTCAGAACACATAATAATTAAATCTTTTATATATTTCATTTTCGAAGTCTAGTATTTTGAGTGAAACTTTCACCGTAACGCTCACAGTCTCTAGTTCTTACGAATTTGATTGCTCTGAGTCTCTTTGTGTAATCTTTCATTTCTCAATTTTAAATCAAAATCTTTCTATACATCATAAAATGTTAGAATAAAAGATGATTAAGCACAAATGAGATTAACATTGTACGTCATGGACCAAACAAGATCTTTTTCTGTACAGACTTCGACATGATCCGCAACATCAGATTTCAATAATTCTTCGTCGTATGCATTCGATGAGCTAACTAACGTATGAAAATCTAATGTTGTATTCCCGTCTAGATTCCATTTTAAACCTTTCGTACTGACTGATGTGACCGGTCCAGCTATGGGCAATAGACTACAATATTCACCACGTAAAGGTGATTTGATGTGTATGTGATTATAGCCGGGTCTCAATACGAAGGTGATGTCTTCATCGGTTACTAAGTAGAGTTCTATTGTTGGAAATAGATAAAGTGTGTGTATGATGCTCATTGCTTGATCGAACCGTCCGCCGAAGGTGCTGAATATGTAAATTACATCTAGGCTTGATCGTTCTAACATAATCTGTATACATTTAGTAAAATCTGTTGCATTTTGATCAGGAGTGTGAATAAGTTGAACGTTATATTTTGCATAATAGTTCTTTGTTGTACTAGTTATCGAGTCCATATCACCGCTAATGTAGTCGGGTATAAAATGGTTCTTCTCATCGGCATTAACTAATTTGAACGTAAAATCTTTCAACATATTTGCGCCACCATCGGCGCATCCACGAATCTTTGCATTTTTCCATAATGGTTTTGTTAATAGTTTATCTAGACTATCGCGTGCATGATTCAAAATTATGATACCGTACGAAAGCTGACTTGTACTCTCTGTATGAAAGTGTTTTTCAAATACATTGTATGGATAATGATGATGCGTTACACTGTAAGTTGTCATCTAAACAATCAAGCTCTTATTTGTTAATGGTAATGTTTTTGAAAATTTTCTCTTTTAAATGATTTTAAGATAGTTATTCTCATTTGACCTATTGCGTGTAATATTCTACCTGACTATCTACAACAGTTTCTTATTTTCTTACAGCTCTAAAGATTTCATGGTAGTTTTATTCATCATTTCTACAGCGTTACACATAAACTGTCAAACCCCGTGGATTCATTTGTCTTTTTCTCACTAATGAAAACCTAATGTCCCGCGTGAACTCTACAGTGAGCACGTTTCACGTCTTCGTTGATGTTTCGCATGCGAATAAAATTTAACACCAACGTTCGAATCACATATACATAAACACATTTCATCTTATTTTTATTTATCTTACATAGTACAGTTAGAAATCGAACGCAAAAACAATTACGATACTACGCCGAAGCCCATAAAAAATCAAGTGCTCGCTTGTCGCTCATTTCGAAGAGGATGTTCTGGCTATTTATCCATGAAAAAAGACGAAGTTATTTGTACTTGGAGTTTTTGAGCAATAGTATGGTTTTCCAAAAGCCTTTTAGAAAATCTGATTTCTAGAAGAGTTTGAAAATGGTTTTGTTCTCGAACGGATGGTCCCAAGTCTTTTCTTTCGGTTGACGAGAACTAAAGGTCTCTGTATCATTCCTATCAAAGGTTATTTAAAAACCACTAACTTATTCTTCTTTTCTCCCTTGTCATTAGGATTTTTATGGCACACGTGAGGATCAGAGTAGAAAAAGACCCTTATTTTCATCATAAACTAACTTTCTTGATTAACTGTCAAAAAGTACATATGGTTATGTTTAACCATCACTGATTTTTGTTTAACTTTTCCGCATTACCTTTACATACTTGCATAATGTCGATAGACTACGTACAAGTGTTATTTGATATCGAAATAACAGTCTATTAATTTGACAAGAAAACATGTTACTACACAAATTCTGTTTAAGAAATATCATTGCTGAAAATATATAGAATAACTATTGAACTTGTTTGAGAAAATGAGAGGATACAGATATAACTTGTGTAGTACAAAACAAAGAAGGAAAGAAGATATTTCAAAATAAAGTTGGAAAACACCATATAAAACTTTAATAAACTGACTCATTCAAAAAAGTTTTCATTCTCCTGTATTTACTTAGTTGCTCATGCTGCACCATGGAGAGTTAAACTGCATAACAAAGTAGTATGCGATGTCAGTCTTCGACGGGATGCAGTCTTAATCCACGTGAATAAACTGAAGATTATTTCATTTGCCTTATACAGAAGTGCTCTTCGACAAGATATTCAATCGAAATATAACATATTTACTTATTGTGCCCACTGTACAAACAGCTCTGCAACAACATAAGATAGCTGGTAAAAAAACGAATCGTGACTTTATCCAAAATAAAATCGAAATAATGAAAGAAAGACAACTTAAAATGCTAATTTTAGCGTGCAATTACAAATGATCTTGTTTTACTACGATGACTTTCCGGGTATCGCTTCGCACCAAAAGAATGGGAACAGATAATTTAAGCGCGAATATTTTTAAAAAAGATGGACCAGTCGTATTTTTCTATGACTCGGACTCCAACTCGGGCTCGACGTGAAAGACTCCATAAACTTAATAAACTGACTCAAGTCACTTTCGAGTCAGTCATATGCAACTTTGGATTATTATGACGGTGTTTATTATATACCAGAAGAGCGAGATTTGAGGTTATTCTAAGTAGAACCCCCTGTCACATGCGAGGACTTATAACAACAGTTTCTGAAATGTGTTTATTACCATTGCTGTTATAAATCCCTTTAATCTTTACCAGAGTTAATGAGACGTTTCGAATTTTGAACTTCTGACGCTGACCATTAGTTACAAAAGGAAAATATCAAAAATCCGACTATATCACTTTTTGCTCAAAAATTTTCTTCTGAACTAATTTTCTATATAATGATAATACTAGAGATGTGCACGGGTATCATTTTCGTACCCGTACCCGACCCGAAAACTTTTTTTCCAACCGTGCCCGACCCGACAACTTTGTACCCGTACTCGACCCGTGCTCGACTCGTCATCGACTTATACCTAAAAATTTTCTCCCTTTTGTTTTTCAGCTAAAGATCTCAAATTATCATTACGTTCTCAAGTAATTATTTTTTCAACCCTCATGTATGTTAGCTAAATTCCTGTATTTTTTCACTAAAATTTTGCGGGTTTTACACTCGAACCTTCCGGTTTTCGGATAAGTTAAAAAAAAGTAGAACCCGTACCCGTATCCAACCTTCGGGTCGCGACGGGTTGCACATCTCCAGATAATACTGATCCAGGGTCATTTCTTCTTTTTCACTCATTCAATAAATACAGCTTAAACTAGAAAGACTAGTCCTGTCATTACATTGCAATCTTTTCTTATTACAACTGGTATACGCTCAATTCTAAAACGAAAATATAAGCGTACAGAATAAGCAAACTTAAAAGTAATCAAGCAGCAAGTATCGTTAAAAGGAAGAAATTTAAATAAAAAAAAGATGAGTGGCATAGAAAAAGGTGTAAGATGAAAGTAAAAGACTTTACCCAAGTGCTAAACTAAAAAAGACATGGCACATGCTGGTCCCCTAATGTTCACATTCGGATATGTCACCATTAAAGTTAAATATATCCATTAAAACTTGTCTGCCCCTTATGACTCATGAAAGAAAAATAAATATATCCGATAAAGAGAGAAACAATTTGTTGCAATTTTATCGAAGGTGGTGAAAGCAGCTTTAAAAGAATGAACAGAATTGTTGTCGATTTTTTGGATACCTGCCACGACATTTTTGGAAGTGCTTGCCTTTTATTTGTATTGACTAATATTTTCAGAAAAGAGAACAGTATTTTTCTTCTTTCACGTTCTTCCAATAAAAATCTGAAAAGAAATTATTAATCAAAATCAAATTACTCTTTTTAGACGACGTATGTGTAAGAAAGAAAAATGAAAGCAATGGGTATAACAGCATTTGCAAAAGTTTCTAATGTCTTTTGAATCCGTCTAAAGTCTGAAAATCTTTACTAATATTTCTGATTTGCCTTGATGTTCTTAATAAATGAGCAAACACCCTCCCTCATTTTAAGTGTGGCTCATTTGATAGAAAGATATCAGCGCTTTGGGCATTAGTGTCTTTTCACGACACAGCTTAAAAGTGCATATAACCATAATATCAGTGTTATAGCGAACTCATTTCACGTTGGCTTTCAGGTATAAACTGAGTGCTAATATGTTACCTTAGTAAGTTCAGCCTGATCAAGTGCTTGTTTAATAGTTTCTTCGCTAATTGATAACCAAACAAAACTTCCCCTGTCGCCTGGATAAAACTGTTGATTACTCGCTGCATTTAGTGGTATCACACACTTCGGGCAAGTATTCATGCAAATTGTTTGATTATTTTTCTATAAATATTTTATGTTTAAATAAGACACTAAATATCATGTGAAATTTAGGTGTACGATCTTTATCGTTCGGTATCGATAATATTGAGTCTTTATTAACATCACAACTATTAGTGAATAGAGCACCAGTTTTGCGTGCAATACGAAGTTAATACAATATAATAATATAATGTTGAATATGGGCTTAGAAATGTTGTGTCTATTTTTGCACAAAATTCTGGTTCTAACCCATCGCTTTTGACTCGTCGGAAATACTTTCAAGCGGGCCAAAAATGAACAAAGCTTTTGTCTCAAAACTTTCGATCAACCCGTTAAAAATACAACTTATAATTCGAAATAATTTATAATTTATAATCGAAATTCACAAGGGTAAACACCGTACTCCGCTAACTCCGTCACTCCGCGGAGTTTAACCGGAGTGTACAATGTCAAAATGATATTAAGACAACGATAAATAGTTAAGTTAATAAAGCTGACATGGTCAACATGTAAACTCTGTGCCCGGTAATGAATGGATGAAAATCTTTTTTAAAAA